AACTATAAATGATCGTCAAACAAAAAGCTTCAATTGTTCGCACAGACAGACACACACACACACACACGCGGAACGAACTTCAGCAGCAGCGGCGACAATAGATTCTAACTGCCATCCATCCTCATAACAGTCAGTTGTGAGTGTCACACCAAACTCTCTACAGAGTAACGGGAGTTTTTTTTGCAAAATAATAAAATAATATTTTCATTTAATTTTTAAATTTTTTCTGGTGAACAATTTTTTTTTGTGAATAATATATAGAAAAAGAAAAATTAAATCATCATATTTATAAATAACCAAGGAAAAATAAAATAAAAAAGAAAAGAAAAAAATCACAAATTTCGAGCGGAAAAAATTTTGTTTGAAAATGAAAATATCTGCAAAACGGACATAACGACGACCACATATATTCACACAACTATAAAAAGAAACATATCAACTATACACCACACATCGTTATACAAACATACATATGTATATGTACATGGCCTCTGCTATGGCATTAAAACAGCAGCAGCATATCTAAAAGTCTGAGCAGGAAATCTAAATTTCAGTCACCAAAATAAAATCCAAACAAAAATAAAAAAAAATTGTCATCTTCCACAAAAAGTAAAAACAAGAAAAAAAAAACCAGCAGAAAAACGACAACGAAAAAAATAGCGACACATTCTACAAAAAAAAAAATTAAAACGAGCGCATTTAACTCTACTCCTTTTGCCCGCCCAACAAATGTGCGTTTCTGCGGCCCATGTTTTACAAAATTAAAAAAAAAGTGCCAAAATAAAATTTCAACTTAAAGTAAATAAAATTCTCCAACTGTGAATGAGAATTCTATTGTTGCGTGGTTCGCTCAAACACACAATGTCAAAAGTGAAATATTAAAACAAAAACACATTTTCACAAAATATCAAATATTACATCAACAAATTTTCGTACTGTGTATGAGCAAATAAGAAAATAAAAATAACAACACCATCATGGAACGAGATAAAACACCTGTTAGAGCCAACAGCAAGGAGAAGGAAACACACACTGAAGGTATGTAGTCTGTGTAACCACCTACATTTGAAATACACACCCACACTATGACATTTTATAATCATCGTAATCATGCGGTATTATTTTTTATATAAGATACTCGTTGGTGAAAATTTCTTCCATGGAAAAAGTAATACGTTGGGAGTCCAACAAGTCAATTAGTTTCTTTAAGAGAAATTGAATTTTTTGCGATAGAGAAAGTGAGAGGATCATGAGGAAAACAATTTATAAATACTCTCTTATTTACGTATTCACTTTTCCCTTATATTAAGCTCTGACTCCCCTCTCTCTGAGAATGTCAAAATAATCACCAGTGGCGAGTAGAACATCGATTTTCAATAAAAGGTATTATATTTATTTAAATAAATAAAAATTATTATTGATCGGGATTTTTATATGGACACTATACGTTATAAATGTTTTTCTTGCTCAAATCCATCCTTAGATATCAGATACCAAAATTCCGCTGATTCCATGCCTTTTAAAATGAACTAAGAACAAGAGGGATATCAATTGGAAGCGTTTAAAGTTACAAGTTATTTACAAATTAATTACAAAAATGTAATTAATTTGTTGAAAAAAGTCCATGCTTCCACAGATATGGGTTTTTAAAATTCTACCAGGTGCCAAAACCAGCTTCGGGTTATAACCAAAAAATACCCAATTTCAAAAATAAAAAAAAAAAAAAACTTAACAATTCCGTATCAAACGATAAAATCTATGATCTCTGGTGCACAGTTTTCACCAAATCGGAAAAAAATTATATAAAAATTATCGAAATCTGAACCAAAAATATTTAAGAGCTATATTTTTGAACCTGATATTCAGATAATAAAACCGATAATAGTCCGGTTAAAAAAAATTTAACACGTTTGTTTACTAGATTTTTAACCCTTTCAGTGTTTTTGTCGAATATATTCGACATTTAAAATTACTCTCTTTCTTTGCGATTTTTCGGTTATCCTATGTACCGTTACAATTGATGTTTTTGTTTTTGCTGAAAGACAGACAAAACTGTCCGAGGGTTAAAATAAGAATTGCTTTTTTTCTAAACTCTGTGCCTTTCTTTATATGATCTTAAGTACAACATTTTAGATTTTTATTTCAACGACATTTTTTGACACTGAAAGGGTTAATGATATGCATATAATTTACTGCAACCGGTTTTACTATCTGAAAATCGGGTTCAACGATTTTGAAAACCGGTTCTTTATTCATCGAAATTAAATTTTTTAAATATTCAGTTTGCTTTTACAAAATTTTAATAATTGTGACCCTTTGTAGGTCAAAAAATGGGTCAATAGATTCCATTCTCGTTGAAAATGGTACACAACGTGCAATGTTAGACCATATCCGATACTCGATATAAGATTTCAAAAAAAAAAAAAAAAAAATTAAATCGATATGTTCCATCATTAGACTTAATAAAAATATTACAATGCGCAATGTTGGGATCAATTCGGATTTTCACATGGCCTTTTTAATCTTTAAATTGTGTGCCTTTTGGGGTAAACTACTTTGTGGATGAGGGGACCTAAATGCCCTATCTTCGAACTTGATTTAAATTTATCCCTTCGGAGAGTATTGTGTTCACCAGTCAGCAAGACTGGTGGACAGGCGGACAATTTTAAATTGACTTGGAACTGTCTGAAATGATATTTTGATGAAGCACATAGGCTGAGGGTATAATGAAAGGATACACATATCGTTTACTTTATATGAAATAGCGAATCCCGCTTCCGAGAGTTTCAAAGCAACAGTGACTAAAGTTTTTGAAAAATGTTAATGGGCTTTTTTAAACGGGGACTACATTTTAGGGCCTGTATTAAGGTTATGTTTCTAAAAAATTTAATTATTTTTATAATTAGAAAAATCTCTTAGAGGTACCTTTTAAAGGGATCAGACCAAAATATATATCGATATTGACAATATTCTTTGAGGATTTGCTCTACTGATTAATATTGCCCATATATTTCTATATATGCATCAAAATTAATTACTTCATTTTGAATGCACACGAAATATGGCACTTTATCCAGCACTCTATTGAAGGGTGTCACAAAACCCCTAAGAAACTGATTTTTTTGATAACAGTATTGCAAATATTGATTTTTGCAAATCAGATTCTCAGTAGACCCATCACTGATAACTGCACTATCATTCTCAAATAAATCAAAACTTTTTAGAAAATTCCTATTCGCCACTGGTATTTACGTAAATATATCGACGTCATATTAAACAAAAACCTTTAAGTTTTCATTAGAGAACAAAAACAAATTATGCAATAGTATTAGAGGTCTACGTGCTTTTTTGGGAGTAGACACAACAAAAAAAATTAACAAAAACAACTCCTAATCTTATCTGGGTTATCATTCGTTCGCAACAGTAAGGTAGGCAATAAATTGCATTGTTACCAAAAAAATAATGCGAACATCAAACGGTACGGAAAGAAATCAATTTGCGCAAAGAAAATTGGAACGCACACACAGACACATTTTTATTACAAGTGAAAGTTATTAAATTATTATCACAAACAACAAAAAACACATCATATAAACACATACGATACTTATTTACGATATTCCAGACATTTTGAAGAAATCCATAAATATTTTCTTTATCTCTTCATTGGTCATTCTTTCATTGGTGATATCAGATACCTAAAGGGACCTTTCAAAGATTTTATAATATTTTCTGGATATTTGTAGATGACCTATAGAAGGTGTATAGAAGACCTATATTAATTCTATGTATAGAATACCGGTAGAAGATGTTAATTCTATAGAAGTTTTTCGTCATATATAAGATACTATTTTAGAGCTACATTGGAATTTTTAAATAATATTGACTAGGGCCTGCCAAAAAGTAGTAGTAGTAAAAATTAAAGACCCACCAAGGCTTAGATTTTTAAAGACTATTTTAAAAGACCTACCAAGGCGTAGATTTTTTAAATAATATTTTTCAAAGACCTATCAAAGCGTAGATTTTTTAAAGAATATTTTTAAAAAATCTTCCAATGCGTAGATTTTTTAAATAATACTTTTTTAAGGTCCTGCTAAGGCGTAGATTTTTTAAATAATACTTTTTTAAGGTCCTGCTAAGGCGTAGATTTTTTAAATAATACTTTTTTAAGGTCCTGCTAAGGCGTAGATTTTTTAACGAATATTTTTCAAAGACCTCCGTGGTTTTTTATTAATTTTGACTAGTGAAAATCGGAGTGATTTTTTATTAATTTTGTCAACGACTATCTGAGATAAAGGCGTGCATTTTTTAATTTTTTATTGCGAGGACTATTTGAGCTGATTGTGCATTTTTTACGTGGACTATCTGAGATCTAAGAGTGGAATACGAGGACTATCTGAGCTGTAGTGCGGAATAAGAGGCCTATTAGAGATATTGTCGTGGATTTTATAAAGTATTATTTTTTGCAAGGATTATAAGTGTTCAAATTGGGAATGTTTTTACAAGGACTATTACAGTTCTAGGAGTGAAATATTTCAAGAATTTCAATGCAGAACTGTTAGAGTTCTGGGCTTGATTTTTATAATAGGAGTATTAGAGCTCTAGCCGTAGTTTTTTTTTTAATAGGATTATTCGAATTCTGTCCTAAGTTAGAACTATGGGCGAACATTTTTTGTATGATTTTTACGAGGACTATTATAAATAGAGGCGTGGATTTCTAGGGTTTCTATATAAAGCTTTTTATGCAATGAATACCTTTAGAAGGACATCAGTCGGTATTTTATCTATATGTGTCCTATGTAGATTATCGATGGGTCTTTTACACTATACATATTAAATGAGTTCGATCGGTCTTCTGTATGTCTTATCAACAATGAAAAATAAACAATTAATCATCCTCTTGATCTCATCATGACACCTTCACCCAGCAAATTTTATTTATGATCTTAATTTCTAATCCCCAATCTATTCTTATTTCCTCCCCCGCAAAACCGACTTTCCTTCCGCAGCAATGGGCCATGTGACGCCTTCATATCATACGGCCACGTCGTTGGCGAGATTTTTAATTTGCATGGCTCCAGTAATGGGTAAAGTGTTACGACAACAAATATTTCTTTGATTTGTTTTGATTAAGGCCATCCAAGTCAGTCTACGTTGCAACAATCATCATTTACATAGAAGTGCAGTGCACTCCAGAGCAGAGAATCATTTAAATTTTTTGTAACATAGTTGAGATGTGCTTGTGGTCGTAATTTGTTTCGTTCGTTCTTCATTAGAACATCTCCATATGAGAGGTCTGATCGGCCCCTCGGTCTTGTTGTGGCCATTTCTTCATCAGTTATTGTTGTTGTCATAGAATTGAAATGCTCGCCGTTGTTTGTCTCTATTTTCTTCATTAAATCATTGAATCAATCAATCCTTTTGTGCGTTTTCGTGTTACACATTCGTAATTGTCCACTCATTGTTCAACATCGTCCACTCATTGGTCACCATCGTCATCATCACCAACGATGATGATGAACGACAAAGCCGACACAGCTTCATTTATGTTGTCTTTTCAATTAGAATGAATTGTGTGTTCATCGAAATGGTTTTTTTGTATGGAATGGCCCACATTTATGAAACATGTTGATTATTGTGTCACAACGACAAACATATATACATACAGTGGAACAGGGTTACACAGAAATGGAATAAAATGAAAATTAAAAGTTAATATGTATGAAGTTATAAACCTTCAAACAAATTCACAGTTTTTAATGTTCGTGGAAAAAAATTCTTGGTTCCATTTAACCTCGGTCCACTGTATTAAAGAAATTCACTGTATATCTCGTCATAGGTATATATTTTTGAATGTGATGCATTTTCATTTTGATCTCATCATCGCCTAAAAATGGTTGAATTATTTCAAACAATTTGTGCATTGTATTCACACTCTCTGTCTGTCTCTCTCCCACTATTCGTAGCAGGATATTTTTAGATGAATAAAGACCACTTTATTGATGACATTCATTAATAATAATAACATAATCATTTAAATGTTTAAGTATCATATTATTTATATTTAGTTTTAAGGTATTTAATGATCAAAATATTACAAAATGAAACTAAAAATGACATCCTGAAAACCGACAACAAAATTATTGAACATTATTGAATGTAAGTATTGAACAAAGTGTATTCAGTTTAATTCGTATTATGATGTGGAACCTATTGTTGAAGTTAAAGGTGGATCATGAAATATTTTGAATTTAAGGGCGGATTATTTATAGTTTAAGTGTATTTAATAGCATCAAGGACTCCTTATAGGAAAATTTTATGATCTCACAAAATAAAATTGGAATATAAAATGATTCTGAAAAATATAAATATTTGAATAATTCAAATAAATATAACTCCGCATATTTTATAAGAAATTTTAGTTTCCATATAAAATATGTTGAACTAATTATAGATGAATTATAATGGAAATGGAAACAATTCAAATATTTACCTCATGGTTTTTGCAGTTTTTTTTTGCTCTGATGGAGATCTGTAAATGAAATTTTAACAAAAAAGTGATTTTTTTAAAATATAAATAAAAAAAAACAACAAATTTTTTGTCGATTGACTCCAGCCCCTAGGATGATTCTATGGACAATTCTAAGCAACTTTGGTGAAGGAACCATAGGTCTATCTCAATTTTCGAGTCTCGATATTTTCAAAAAAAAAGTTTTTTTCCCTATAACATAATTTTGATTAAAAATTCTATTTATTAGTCATCGTTATATTGCCTTTTTTATGTGTGGAGTCAAGAAATTCATTTCTGATCTTTAATTTTACCTATGACCACCGCTAGACAAATTACAAGTTTTTCGGTAAAATTGATAAAAAAAAATCGAATTTTGAATCAAAATTATGTTATAGGAAAAAAAATCATTTTTTGAAAAATGAGAGACTCGAAGATCGAGATAGACCTATGGTTCCTTCACCAAAGTAGCTTAGAATCGTCTATAGAATCATCCTATGGATTGGATTTAATCGAATTGTTCGGCTCCATACAAATTGGCCCGCACTAATATTCATATATATATTATTTGAGCTTCATAGTTTTAAAATGTAAATAATGCATATTAAAAATGGAACAAAAGCACAAATTGTACGGTGCTTTAGAAAAATATCACTGGACAAAATTCCGTGACATTTCCGCCCTCAAGTGTATTAATGGTAATACTAAACAACATCATCATATGTATTTATTCTCAGGGCTGTGTCGTGCCCAGGATTGGGTCCTAGTCGCTACAGCTGCATCAATAAAAAAGTGCATGGTCTCCAATCTCCAAATTTATTCTTCTTTTCTCCCACAAAAATAAAATGATTTTTCTTCCTCAGCAATGAACCGAACATAGTGGTGACTTCAGAAAATCGTCTTAAAATTCTGGCTGATAGCTATCTCTGTTATAGTAGTTTTAAAAATAATCGGATAAATCTTAAAAAACGTCCAAAAAATCCATTCTCAGAGCTCTGATAGTCCTGAAAAAAAAATACTTTAAAAAATAACCAGTGAGCGGAGCAGTATAGTCGGACGGGGCCGACCATATGTACCCTCTTGACCGATTATGGGTCAAAAGCTCAACTTTCTAACCCTGCGATATTTTCCAAATCTTGATTTCCCAAAGTGAATATTTACGTCATAAAATAAAAACATGATCACTTTGTATTGGTATCAACATAAAGGTCAACGACTCCTTTTGGATATATTATCAATTTTTCGGGTTATGTCCTTCAGAAGTAAATATAAACGCCAACGAAAAAATTGTTCACAAAGTTTTGCAATTTTTCAAAGCCCCGCTTGATTCACTAAATATTGACCGATCTGTATCAAAACAGGCATATCTTTGCCCTGATCCTCTATAATTCAGATTGTAATGGAATACAAATGGCTCTAATAGTCCTTTAAAAAAATCTTAAAAAATCCTAGAGAAACTCTAATAGTCCTCAAAAATCTTGAATTCGCTCCTAGTGCTCTAATATTGCTAGTATAGTCTCCGGAGAACATTCAGACGTGGATTTAAAAAAATATATATCTATTTTATAAGCCACATAAAATGGGCATAGATTTTTTAAACGCCTAAAATCGACATGGATATTTAAAAAAATGTCGTCCACCTAAAATATTTTTTCAGCCAAAAAAAAAATTGTCGTGGATTTTTTTAGAAATATTTTTCTAGTACTCTAGTAATATAAGCGTGGATTAAAAAAAAAAATATTTTCAGCCACCAAAAAGATGAGTGCATGTATTAAAAATAATTTTCAGCCACCTAAATTAAGCGCGGATATTTATAAAAATCCAACACCCAAAGTTCTCTTAATTCTCGTGAAAAAAATCTAAAAGTCCACGCACAGAAATTGAATTACCCAAAAAAAAATCTAAAACATATTTGAAATTATTGTTCAATTTTAAAACTCAAACTTTGAACTGAATACATAGTTCGGACTTTGCGCCACACATAATTCGTTCAATATTTAAATTGAGAAAAAACAAGTATTCGGACTGCGGACACTTCAATACCCCTGAGCTTGTAATTTTCAACAATTAATTCTTTCATGTTGTCATGATTTATTTTTTTTTAGTTTTTGTGGTTGCTCGTTCTACTGTTCTTTGAAACCCAAGTCTAAGACCGATGCGAATTTTACACTTGGAAGTCAAAGTTTACACGGGATCAAATACAATTAATGGTCATTATTTAATTTTAATTGTGGACACAAAATTTCAATTATCAAATTAAAACGAGGTCTATTTCAACAACAACAACGACAAAAATAAAAAAATGTTTACCCATATGATTTTGTTGTTATTGTTGTGCATTAAAAAACGAAAAAACTATGGATCAAAAAACAACATCAATGAGTATACATACATATATTTAAACAAATGTTGTGCTACTTTTGTTAATTCACACTTTGATTTCTTTTAAACGTCAAATTGCTGATCGGCTTTCGTCGCTGCCAAACCAAATAAATCTTTCCAAATGCTGGCTGGTCTCATTAGAGCGTCATGGCTAAAAGCTTCAATTAGAATAATGTTAGATTTTTGTGTTGTTATTGTTATTATTATTTTTGGGTTTTTGGGGGTTCGGTGTTTTTGTTGTATTTTGATATTTGTTTGTTGGTTTGTTTATGACTAATGAAGAGTATCAATAGTCCGACGATTTGCTGAATTATGACAACCGGATAGTAAATCACCACACGTTTGGCTTGTTGTTGCCGTTGTTGTTAGATGTGAATTAATTGAAATCATGTTGCATTCGATGTTATTTAATTTGACTAACAGGTTTTGGTTTTTATGCATAATTAGCAAAAGAACTAAATATAGCAAAATTTGTTTCTATTTATTTATAATTTTTGGAAACGAGGAAAATATTTGAATTAATTTAATTAAACATGTGACAAAAATGTATTTAAGTGATAGCAATTCACGCCTAGTGATTTGACCGTCGTCTTGAGAAAATATTCGTAACGAAATCTTGGCATAGAAATTCAAAGTTCTTGAAAAAATACAAATCCTCGACAAAAAAAAAAAAAAAAAAAATATTATTAAAAATCTACGCCTAATATAAATTTTTTTTAGGGCTGTCAGCGCATTTTTTAAATAATAATATTGAGATGAGAATCTCCGGATCATAATAGAGTATTTTTCAAGTCTATTTTTTATCGGGTCTAATGCGTGATTTTTTCAAAGATATTTTTTAACGAATATTTTGTATGGACTATCTGATCCTTAAGCGTGGATATTTTATTAATTTATTATTGTCTTAGTTTTAAACGTTAATTCTTAAATATTGTTTACCAATTATTATTATGGGTCTCAAAGCGGAATAAAGAATATTTTGTTTTTAATTTATTAAAAAGGATTTTTTTTAAAGAATATCCGGACCTTATGGTCGGATCTTTGAAAAATATTTTCTAAGGACTATCTGGGCCTCAAGCGTGAATATTTCCAAGAATATTTTCGGATGGCTATATTGGCCAAAGGTGTAATTTTTGTCTTAAATATTTTCTTAGGACTATATTTGCCTCAAGCGTTAATTAAAAAATAAAACAATTT